ACTAAAAGTTGAATAAGAGTGAGATATCATGAGGTACCAAGTTGCAACAGCGTACCTTCCCCATTTGGTCACCTGTAGTACATCAATACTATGCAACTGGAAATTGCACGTTTGAGAATCCTTGAAAACAATCTGATTACTTCTGTCATCCAAATTTCCGATGAAATAGATGAGACATTTAGCATCTTCGGGCCTGGCATCTGTTAACGTATTATTGGGGTTGGCCACTTGACCTTCTCCCCCTATAGAATCTATAAAGGGAATCAACTCAGGATGATGCAACGACAATAGTGAGCGTACCGTCATTGTTCACATAGAGCCTGCCGTAATGTGCATTATCCTGTTGTTCTCGTCGGCCGCAGAACCCCCATATCCAGACAGCTGGACCGTCAAAGACGAGCTTAAAGGATGATGCAGGTCTAGAGTACTGCCTCGTTTGTATTCCACTTTGCATATATGTGCCATTTCGACTCCACCCATCAGAATAGACAATGTCACCATCATCGATGCTGTATGTTCGTATTGAGATACTCGCTCTAAAGTAGAAGGATCAGTATATGATGGATTTTCTAGTTTTGGACCTACTCAGACAAATGTATTGGATACTTGAAGACACCCTTGGTAAAGCGCAGCGCCCCGCCTGATGTATTGTCGGTGATGTTAATAACAAAGGTATTGAACGGATTCGATCGATTGGTCAACGCAGAGCGGTCTGTACACCCTTGGTCGAAAGTGTCACATGCTGTCGTGAAGTCATCGTAAGCTGCTAAAAACCCGTTGCCGGGCGAGAGGGGTATTGCTGGTTTGTAGTTGAAGCTGATCGATGCTTTAACTCCGGGATCTGATACAGAGATTATGAATAGCTAAGTCGAGATTGGGTCCTTGAGATACCCACCAAGTTCGCCATATAAATAAAAGGCCCTTCCTACAGACCCAATTGAGTGTTAGTCATAGCACCCGCACTGTAGTAGTATAGTTTACCGTAAAAGTTGAATCCAAACTGTCTAGAAACATTATATGCGATATGACTGCCGACTGTACCAGAGCTATCTGAGCACAAGACGCGCCCTTCGCCCTTCGGGCAGTCGCTGACCCAGCCTTCCTTGCTGTACTCTATGTGAATAGAGGTGTGGGGGATGGTAACATTATAGGTGAGTTCGCTCATGGTCTCGACGAGTCACCAGTGTCCAAGCTCCAGGTTTATTTGCTTGTTCATCTGACCGTGAGATACACTTAGAGGTACCTGCCAAGTATGAACCGAAAAGATATAGTCGCATTCATAGTTTTATCCGTGACATGTATAGTATAGAATATAGCCGGTTTTGCGTTGATTCAGGGCCGGTCTGATGGGGAAGAAGGCCGAGCCATGAATGGACTTGATACTGGAAAAACCTCGAGCAGTGTATGATGACTGAGTAAAATTGTGTTCTGAACATAGTACCTCCAATTGAAAGGTCAGCTTATTCACCATTTGTTGCTCGCCATATTGACGCAGAGAAGTGGTTGAAAAGAACTTCGTTCTCCACCTCTAGCCTCTACAGTTGACAAGCCCACTTGCCGCCTTCCACCAATCTCCAAACTCATCAGAGAATTTGAATCTAGTAAATTGGAACGATGTCGACTGATATAAATGAAGAGAATGTCCTCCAGGCTAACCGCTCCCGCTTTGATGGGATGGCGCACCATGGGCCAGGGGGATACGATGACAACCCATTCGTGGAAAATGTAGCAAATCAGATCGCGGATGTCATTCGAAAGGAATACACTTTCAACGAAGAGAGTACCGTGATGCTTGACTTTGCCTGTGGGACGGGTGCGCTTGTTCCCCTCAC